CAATTTTGAAGGGTTTACCTTTTTCCTATTATTCATTATATATTTTAATAGCAGCAGAGTGTTCTATCTCTTGTCATTCTCAGTAGATTAAAAAGAATAAGCATCTTCCACAGCTGGTAAATCTCAGAACCTTTATCAACATGTAGGAAAAAAGTGTTGCCTCAGACACAGCCTAGGATGGGATTATTGCTTAACGGTTATAATATTGTGAAATAGTCCTTTTATAAGAATTATTTTCTGAAAAGCTACTTTTAGGAAAAAAAATAAGGCATAAACCTTTATTTCAGATGTAGAAACTGATAGTTTAAGCTTTTAAGTCTGTAATACCATGTGATATCAACATTGATTCATGCCTGTGGTTTGAAATATTTTTTAATACAAAGATGTTAATTTAAATTTTTTCTTATTATTTAGAAGTAAAGGATGGAGCTAGATCAAGTTACTCAAAATGTTCATATCAATTCAAGAATGCAACTACTAATGCATTGGTTGGTGTCAAGTCCACTGAAGGAATCCCGGAACCTGTTCCACTTGTTAATAACCGTAAAGGGAGCCTCTTCCTACCCAACAACCCCTCGCTGTCGCACCTTAACTTACTGAGTTCTGTTGAACAAGGAAAATCTACGTACTGTAGATTGCAAAGGGCACTCAGCTTGCCTGTAAAATACCACTACCACTCCCAAAAGCCTGGGATGAACCAAGATCTCCGTAGGTAGTCCTGTAGTAGGATGCATAAAGCAATACAGATTGGTTTGTGCATGGTTTTGCAGTCTGTTTTCAATGTGACTATGACATTACTAATGCTCTGTTAATTGCTTACAGATGTGAGTTTCTCCAGATGTGGTGATTAATCAGTTAATCAAGATAGCTAGTCAACTAATGTTTCTGGGTGATTTCTCCTTTGATTTTCATATGGTTTATTTCCTCTGAAGCATTTACATGTTAAGCAGAATGAGTTTACCAGGTACTGCAGTTCGTGTGGTGTTCAGTAACATAGATACTATTTCAAATTCCAGGTCTTTTTGAGGTCTAAAAACCAATGTCTGTAAATTGTTCTGCTAGTGACCTGGGAGAGGTAGTGAAGGAGGCAGATTTCTTTTAATTTATTTTTTTTTTTGTGGTAACAAATAACAACAAAAAAAAGTGTTTCTGAAAGACGTTCTCTTTATTTTACTTAAAAAGGGAAATGAGGATAAAAGTCAAGTAATATGTTGTTACAGATATTCAGCTCCACATTAAGGCTGTTAAAATTACCAGCACATCTTAAATCAGTTCATGGAACATTGTCACTGACATAATGAATCCTCTTTGCTCAAGAATAAGCAAACTTGTTAAAACATCAGTGTAACTTTAAATTAAACTCCAGCATAAACTGGAGCATCTGAAGCCTTATTAGACTTGCCTGACATTTTTCTAGCACTGAGTCTTCCTGAACTGCAAAACTGTTAGATTCTGTGCTTGTTAGAGAAGTGAGCACTGGGTTGATACAGCAGTACATTAAGTGTTATACTGAGGGATGTGCCAACAAGCTCTTGAATTTTATTAGAATTCAGAGGCAGAATTAAGTTGTGATTCTATAAAATTCTGTGTCTGATTCTTGAACTTATTTGCAATTTTCTTGAATGCTGGTAAAGAAAGACTGCTTAATATAACATGAGTGTATTTTAATACAAATCCTGTGGCATAAAGACATAAAAAAATACTAAAAATGAGGACAGTTTCACATCAACAAAAGCCTTAGGTTAAACATACAGCATCAGAGTTGAGTTGTCATATATCACAGCCCATTATTCAAATATGGTTGTCTTTCATAAGAACAAGCAAATTTAAGGCTCTTTTAAATTAGTGCAGACACAGGAACCATTAAACGAAAATTATATTTTATGGCTTTACTAAAATTTTTGCTAGATCTATTTCTTTAAATGTGCAAGAAACTGATGAGAGTATCTAAAGGATAATAATTAAATGTATTATATATCCTACTTACTTCTAAGAAGCCACTTGTGATTTAATGTTGCAACAGTTTTGGGAACCAAGCCATAGGTAATGGTGTCAATTATATACCATTCACATGTTTCAACTTATAGGATTCCCTTCCCCCCATTCTTATGGAGTTGCATTTCTAAACTCCAGATGCCCTGTAAAGTCTGCACACAGATTTCATTTTAAAATTATCTTGTTTGAATGTGATATGATGAAGATAGATCACTTTTTGTTGCTGCAATGAGGACAAATGGCTTCCTTGGTTGGGCAAGGCATTGCTTTAGCAACAAATGGAGGTCCCTCAGAAGGCTTTGCTAATATGTATTAACTAGTGAGCCACATTAACCTTGGGCTTTCCAGGCTATTAGGGATAGTAACATAGTTTGAATATGACAAGTACGTATCAAAAGAGGGAGTTTATTTATTGTACTATACCACACATAGCTGCAGACTCTTAGAAATCTAGTTCCAGAAATGGTTATTCTGGATGATTACTAAGAAGACTTAGGTTTTTAATTGGATGGTGGAGTAGCATCACCTGGTAGCACTGGAGAATGCACATGTTGGACCATCGAATACAGAAGATCCTTTTTGCACTAACTTTCAGTATTTGGAAGTATCACACAAGAGTCCTATTAGCTAGCTGAAAATTTGGAAAAGTATTATTTTTTTTAATAATGTTTTCTATTGTTCATAGAGATATTTCTGACTATAATAAGATCTAAAGCTAACTTGTGTTAATATTTTGCACATGATCCTGATGGCTATGTCTCTTCCTTAAATTGTTACAATAGTAGAACAATACACTTTACTTATGGTGCAGTACTGAATCTTTTGACAAACATTCTGTAATCCCATGGTAATAGATTAAGTTAGAGTGAAATGTAGGTGTTGTTTTTTTTTCTACCAACAGGGTAAAACATTTCAGTTTTAGCTGGTTTCTGGAAGGAGCATTTGGCATGGTTCCCATTCCTTTGATCTTCTAAGTGGTTTATTCATCAGATAGAAACTGAATTTACATCCTATAAAGAACAAGAGAGCACAATGTGTATCTTGAAAGCAACCTATTGTCTGTGTGGAATAGCATGCAAATAACTTTTTGATAGACAATCTTAAAATAAGACCAGACCATTTCCAAGAGAGTGATTTGCAGAGGGTGTTATGAAATGCACAAATACTTGTACTCTTTTATAATCAGAAAGTTAGCACTACCAAAATAATTCTGTGCATATTCACTTCATGTTACAAATAGCTAAATACTGAAGTGAGAGAGTTTAATCTGAACAGACTGTCACAGAAAGAAAATTTCAGCTTGTATATTTTTGAGAATTTTCTGTGAGCTCATTTGTTTCAGCCAAAGAATGATACTTGACTAATCAAAATAATCTATAGGACTCTGACTTGGGGGAAAAAAAAAAAAAAAGTAAAATGAGAAGGAAATGGCTTTGTCTTTGGAGATGCTGAGTGAGAAAAAAAAGGAAGTTAAGTTAGTGTAATAAATATTTATTAGGCAGTCATCACTCTGATCTAGGTATTATGTTTTACACAGCTCTCTAGGGCATTTATTTTGGAGTTGTTTGTTTGTTTGTCTTTTGCAATGCTTTCTTTTAGTTCCTTTCATACGTTAGGTGATGCCAGGTCATTTAAAAAGGCAGCACATCTGTCTTTTCAGGGCCCAGTCCTTCGGTCTTGACCAAGGCAAGATGAAGTTACATAGCAGACTTAGGCAAACAGACATAACAAACTAGATTGCAGTCTGTAGTAAAATAGTGTCCGAAGAGGATTATAGCAGAAGGATATTACTTAATTTCTTCACAGATAAGTCTAGGGCAGGTGACATATATCCAGGTTTTGTCATTGTTTATACCTAGTTTGTTGCAAATAAATATTTTGTTCCAGCCTCTGCTTGTGCAATGCTAGTGTATATTAAGCTCTTTTAATATAGCTTCTGCTACTACTACGTATATCTTTCCTTTTAGCTTTAAAGTCACAGCTTCCTTGGTATCAGTTACATTATCTTCCAGTTCATTTTTCAGTTAACAATAGGATGGAAAAATAAGTGTATTTTTCTTTATATTAGAACAACTCAGCATTAGCATGAATTTGAGAAAGCAGGCATAAGATAATTCCCCTTGATAGTACGTGTAAACCTTATGCACAGATTATCAAGTGCAGTAACAGTCTTGAAACAGTAGTGATGATGGTTAATTCTTATAGATGAGTTGTTAAGAATCACAGAATCACACGTATTGTGACACAGATTATCTAAGAGTAGTTTATGATTGGCAAAACATTAAGTGGTTTTACATCTGGAAATGGATCTGTCATTGAAAATGCACATCATCCTCATTAAAAGATTGCATAACACATGCATCCTCTGTTATACAGGTATTGTCTCCCTGCTTCCATTCAACCTCATTCTGTTCACTCCTGTTAAAAATCCCTTTTGTGAGAAGGGTAGGGTGATGAGGTCTGACTTTTGGTGGAGATCTGTGCACAATGGCAGGCTGCGTTCACATTCCCAACTTAACTGAATCATTGAACATCAAGGCATTGAATATTTTACATCTCTTCATGAAGACTCTGTTGTTTGGCATGTGAGGAGCAAGAACCAACTGGTGACTAGTTCATTAGCAAAATCAGGCTGGCAGCTGTTCTGTTGGTATTGCAAATAGTACTTCATCTTTCTGGGAATACAGCAAAGCACTAATTCTACTTTTCTGTAGCACAGATTAACTGAAAATAACTGTAAGAATAACCCAAATGCAGTTCCCCTCGCTTTGTTTTGAAGTATGAAACCAATTTGAACATCTCTGTTCAAAACCCTGGTATTCTTCCCTGCTTCAAACCAATCTCTTTGACTAACATGGATTTGATTTTTATCACTGTTGGGCCTATGTTAGTAATGAAGTATCAGTGCGTGAATGGACATAGAGTGTGTGTTCTTTGCTACTTCACTTGTATTTCATATAGCACTTAGAGCAGTACTTAATCTCATGAGTTCCTTATATTTCCAGTTGAAGATGAGCAGCCGTCAACACTATCACCCAAAAAAAAGCAGCGAAATGGAGGCATGCGAAATTCACCCAACTCCTCACCCAAACTGATGAGGTAAGACTGTAAGAAACTCATATCTTCATCTTCTTTCTTTCTTCTTTCCTCTTCTCCTCCCCCCACATCAAAAATAAGGGGAAAGGATGGGAAAAAAAAGGATTGTGAGATGGTTTCTGAAAGGCTGAAGTATTTATTCTGTCAGCTTGTCAGCAGTTAATGATAGAGCTGAAAAAAAATTCTGTCATGAAAAACAGTTTGAAATGCTGTTTGAAAAATACATAGGCTTTAAAGTCTTAGCTGTCACCCTGTCCTGTCCGTGTGTAGTTCTTAAACAGCGGTGGCACTAATGATAGCACTAACCAATCAGAGGAACTCATGTGGTTAGTTTGCCTCAGGCAATTCTCTTTTTGTTGGATTCCCTCTGAGTACTGTTTTCAGTACTTAAGGCCATATGTGAGATGTATCATCACAATCAAAAATGAACCTGAATATTACCTTCCTTTTATCCTGTCGATTGAAATCAAATTTCTGTTAATTGATTTAGACTGATAAAAAAAGTCTAATAATCTATGTATTTGCCAAAGCAGAGTTCAAAACTAATGCAGTTTTACTCAGGCTAAAAGCACATTAATTATGAAATACAGGGATTTTTAAGAGGATAGTATATACTCTAAAAGTGGGTGATGAAAACATTATCTTGTTTGTGATATTTTTCGCTGTTGCTGTGTGTACATTATTTTACATGGGTATGCCTTTATATAACTATGTAGTTTCCTTCCATAGGACAATTTACCTCTAAGAGATTTGTTAAAACTGGAACTGCAACAAGAAATTGGAATTTATTAAAATAATATGGCATTTGTATTCTGTCTCACTATGCTTCACCTTTTGCCTGCTCCAGTCAGTCAGAACAGGATCAGATAGCAGATGTGAAGTTTTCTACGAGGAGGCTGTTCCTGCTGTTGTTTCACATACCTAAAGCAGGCAGACTAGAACCTCAGTCCATAATTGTATCGAGAACTCATCACTGTAGCAGAGACTTTCCACTGCATATATTTATACACAAAGAAAAATGTAAACTTATTTACATATATAAACAGATGCATTCATGCACTTTTAAATTTGCTCTACAGTCACAGAGGCTAAGTGAAAAAAAAAAAAAAAGTATTTCTTTCCATATATATATTTTATATACAGAAAATAATTCATTACTTATATTGTTGACAATTACTTTTCTTCCTTTAATGATTCTGAATACAGCTAGGTAATGTTCATCTTTGTATTTCAGTCAGTAGACTTGAATTGTCTTTGGCCAGTTAGAAAAGCACCCATACTTGTTTGTTGTTACTGCGTTATAGGGCATAGTCAAGGACAAAACTTCTACAAGTCATCTTCATCTCTGTTTAGAGTACAAAACCCAAAGTGAGATTGATTCACAGAGGAAAATGCACCCAGCTGTGGCTTTTTTTTTTTTCTATTGACCATCTATTTCTGTTAAATGTATCATTATAAGTTCTCTGCCTTCCTGTTAGCTCAGCCTTGCCCATATGACACTGATTTACATGCTTGTTTACAGTTTATGAGGAAGAATAAAATGAACATACTGGCAAGCTTCTCATTTTTATGGTGCCAGTTGTCATGCTAGCATCATTTTCAATTTACTTACCTTTGGACAGTCTTCTTATCTGGTGCTAATAGTTTTAACCACGTGAAGATTTAAACATGTGGGACATTCCCCTCCCTCACCAATCCTGATTTTGGAGAAGTAGAAATAAAAGGAAAGAGAGGAGGAGAGAGAGAAAGAGCTGAAACATTCGGAGCTGAGCACTCTGTCCCTGTTTGCTATGTAAAGTATGCCTCTTTTCTTTGATCTTCAGTAATAATAATTCTGGGGAGTTATACTGTTTTCATATGCTTCAAAGCTGTGTCAAAGTTTTGCTGCTTAAGGGTACTTCTTTATTCTATTGGCTCTTGGGTACTGAGATGACAGGTCCTCTGTACTAGGTGCAGGCTTTTTCAAGTCATTGCCTTCAGCAAAACATCAAATTACCAAATACAGGGTAACATACTTCTACACAAATGCCTTTCCTGTAGATATATTATACCATATATATTAAATACTTTAGTGTTACACGGTGCATTTTATGTGCAATAGAAAGTGATGGTTTGAGGTAGCCTTAGGGGTACTTTTTTCCACAAGCAGAAAAAGCTAGTGTATACCATATCAAGTATGGTTTTTACAGGACTTTCTGCCCGAAGGCCTTTGTAAATAAGTAATGATCAACAGATTGGCTGTGGGTTTTTGAAAAGCATGCCTGTGTCAGTTTGCATGATGGGGGAAGATTTTCAAAGTGGAGCCTGCTTTCATTGCCTGCTGAAGAGGGACTGAGGGAGAGTAGTCGTCCTGAGCCTGAGCTGTCTTCTCAGTAGCGCATCAGAATTGCTAAACACAGGTCGAGCACTGAGTGGAGAAATTGTCACGCTTCCAAAGCCAGACATTGTTTTCTTCCTCTTCTGCCTTACTGCTGAATCTATTCACCAGCCCTGTGTTGGCACCCTCAGTTCTCCGAAAACCCAACCATTTCTTTTTCTTGCACTTTATCTGTACTGACTTGACTTTGGTTCAGGGTGCTACCTAAGAGAAAGTGGATTGAATCAGAAGAGAACTCCATTCAGTTTTATGTGTAATGGCCAAATGCTTTTCTCCTTTCCTATAAACAAAGATGGGCTGTAATATCTGCTATTTTGTATCCTTATAAATTAACAAAAGTTAGATACTTTCTTTCCTGCCCAGAAATCTTTAGTGTGTGTCAGCTAAAAGTACAGAAGAGGTAAATCAGCTAAAGCCCTCTCGTGTCTGTAGCTGATATTTATCTTTGCATTATTTTTCCTAAATTTACTTTAAAAGCTCCTTTTCAAAGCTAGCTTCCCCCTTGCCCCTCCCACACAAAGGGCTGGCTACTTTGCATACTTTTTCTTAGCTATGGTCCTGGATCTAGAGGAGGCTGGCAGAACAAGAAGTCTGGAGCATGCAAAGGAGGAATATGTGAAAAGTTAATTTGTAAATTGCAATCACAGTTATGACTTTAGAATCACTTTCTGAGCAGCCCACAGTTAAGATAATGTTGAAAATGCTGCATAGATCTTATATTTCCACAGTGGCTGGGGTAAATCAGAGAAGAGGGTATTGTGCCATAAGATAAAACTTTATGACTTTTGCTGTCACTGGAGTAGAACAGGGGACAGAAGCTATGTCACAGAGACATGATGTCCCTGGGACATGATGAGGTTTGACAGGTACTTATTCAGACCTGGTCAGAGAGTGGGAATTTATGAGATTTACTCACACATAAGTAGGAAGCTGTATTACCAATTATGACCTAGATAGAGAAATTGAAGATACCTTTTCAATGTAATCTTTTTTATGTTATTCTCTCCAAATGCCAATAAATTACTAACTGAAATAAATAGATCATAGGCATAGAAATGTTCTGAGTATACATCACAGATGGTCTAGATTCACATTTGGAAACTCATTGTTCTGACTGAGTTTGCATTGCATCAAATGACATGAGCAGAATCATACTGATGCAATATTGGAAGAATCTAATCAATCAGAAACAAATCCTTGAAATGGCAACTGTAGCTACAAATGCAAATTAACTAGAAAAATATTCAGCCACTCTGCATTGTCATAGTTACTTTCTATTTGCTTTACATCAATGGAAGTCTGTCCCGTTAAACACACAAGAACATGGGTATTATTTTAAATTAACGTACACACCAAGAGGAAAAACAGATACTTGTCCTGTGGAGATGTGAACACAAGGACATCCTAGTACAATAAAAAGTACAATAAAATTAAAATAGGCAGTGGAAGGAAAGGAAGGAAAAAGGAAGGAAAGCTTTGAGTAGCAGATTAATCACATATCATGTCTCCTTCATGAGATGGAGAAGAAAGTAGAGCCATTTGATGCTTCTGGTGTCATGCAGTGATATCAAGTAATCTGTTCATCATCTCACAGTCACAGATTTTGATGCATGTTATTGATGAACAGCCACATTAAATATGAGATGGCTATGTTGCCCCAATATCAAATAGCAAAGCTAGTTTGTTTGTTTTTAAGAATGTGTCAATTTGGATTCCAGAATGACCAGTAAAATGTGAAAAGTCCTGGATAGGAATCAAAAAAGCCACTTAAAAGGATTGTTGCTGGGGCTCAAGTCCACACTTTAATGCTTTGGTAGCTGCTCCTGCATGAGTGGAATACACTGACTTGAAGGAAATGTCAGGCCAGCTGAGTCAAACTACCTCTTAATGCAAGAACAAATAGCATATGACAGGGCCCAAGGGGCCTTAAGAGCAAACAAATAGTTTGTCCCTGTCCACTCTGAATTTAGTGGTGTAGCTGACATAGGCCTCTAGACAAGTAGCATACTCAGCAAAGGGTCGTTATCATTAGTGTCCCTGATCACAGAAGAATCAGAGGCATCAGAGGACGCTGAGATTCAGTGTGTTGCCGAAGAGAATTTCATAAGCTTGAGGTTTTTTCTTGAGCAAGGATCTAAAATAATTCCCAACTAAACCATAAAACTTGCTCAGAGACTGTCAGGACTCAGTTAAGTGGCACAGAAAAAAAGTGTGCTTTTTGGCATACGTTTCTGGAGACCTAATGCAATTATTTATCTGAAGTTGAGGGGGAAACCTCCTGTCTTTTTTTCCTGAAGTTGGATATAATAGTCTACGTATATGAGCAATGGTTGGGCACAATTATCTCCTCACCAGTCCACCCAGCTACATACACTCAAATGTACACACACTTTTCTGCTGATGCCCCTCAGGATGAATTTGTATTGCCCCTGCCATTGTAGTGTTGCCCCTCTATGAGCTAAAACTGAGCTTTCTGATAGGAACCAAAAAAAAAGTGATAGGCTGTTTATAGAGGAACAAGTTCACTACAACCAACATGAGCAGCAGGAGTAGCTGAGTACTCACTGTTATTTTAAACCTGTTTTTAACAGGTATTGAATGACAAGGGAGTACAATATGTTAGCCT